ACCAGTATTCCATAGATCACGGCAGACCAAATAGGCCATAACAACAAACCCGGGCTCGAAGTAACGAGGCTGGCCGCAGGTTTCAGCTCGAAATAGCACTTGTTAATTGGTATCCTTTGCAGCAGATTCTCGGGCAAGTGCTCCGAAGGAGCATGAGAATTCGGGTAAACCAGTACAGACATGAAATGATGTGACCTCATTTTTGCAACTTGGTAGTGTTGTTATGATGACTTAGTTGGACTCAGCTTGTCAGAAATCCTCTGCTATTGTAGTCATGACAATTCCCAGCCTACGACTGTGGATTTGGTATATTCCCAGACGTCTCACCGTTACAATAGTCGGTATTGTTAGTAACAAGCTACATTTCGTCAATGAGGCAAGTCTTACACAATAGTTGTCATAATTCTCAGCATCAGACAGTGTACTTGGTACGTCTTCTCTTGCTTCCCAAATGCTCCTCACCCGCTTCTTCCTTGCAATATCTTCTCCCCTGAGTGACGATAGGTCCGTGATCCAAGCGTTCCCTTTTTTTTGTCGCCTTGACGAGTTGTAACTTATTGCTGAGAATGGCAGGATTCACTGAAGATGCCGACTACGATGCCAGTGAAATGTCTGACAATGTACCAAGTCCAATATCTGATGCTGGGAATCATGACAACTACTATGGCAGACGACTTCGGATTAGGTGAGTTCTACAAAGTCGCCCTGACAACAAGACCAAGTTGCGAAAACGAGGCCAATACAATACTATGAATATAAAAGAGACTGCGACCATACCGGGGGCCAAACCATGTTGGTCTTCATATTTTCGTCTTACGTTTGTGCTAGCACTCAAATGTTCGCAACCTGGCCCAGTTGAATTAGCGAACATGGACAAGGTGAAGTGAGTGAGCACATCCGCAATGCCAACTCCAGTCAGCATTGGTTGATTAAAGTGAATTAAAACCTAATGGTTGAATTTCGCACAAGAAACTAATTGCAAGGCCTCACAATGCTCTTCACCAGCAGTCTCGACCTGGCTCAAGGTGACACGGATCTTAAACAAATATTTACTGAGTGAAGCGAAAAATGTAGCATTTGATTGTGATCAAAACCATCCAGTTGGGATGAGAAAGCCTTCTGGAAGCAAAAGCAAAAGTAACTTCAGCTCAATCAAAAGTGCTAAAGTGATTTAGGGAAGCATTTCATTTTTGAAACTTGCAAAATCAGCCCTTAAACCAATTTAGGCAACCTAAATTGGCCTAGATTTGCCCATATCCTAGATACACTTTCATCGGATGCTTCAACACAACTCATTATGAAAAGTTTATCCAACAGTGCTCACATCATCTCAAACAATTTAGTGACTCGAGTTCATACTTTTGGATAAATGACCAGCAGCTTTCACACAGCCTCACCGCATCGGTCACGATATGATCCCCTCCTCGTGACCCTACCGACTGAATGTCTGCCAGAAAGCGGTTTTTGCAAAATCTCTTCCAAAACCCGATCTCAGACAGGCTCAGATTGGCCATTGTGAAAGTAGAATGAAGGCGCTATGGTGCAGCTGCATAGCTGCCAGCCTATGAACGCCACCGGCAAAGACAGTATGCTCGATTTGCATTTAGCATTATCCAGTTCGGGGTTGGAAAAGATTGCGCATGCGGCAGTAGAAAAATGTATGATTGATGGTAGGGAGATTCGGCTCAAGTAAGGAAATTTCCGTGTAAATGGAACTGCCTATGACAGGCATGCGAGTACACCCTTGCCTGGGCCGGTAGATGAACACGCTACTAGTACCGTACAGATGTGTCTGCTGCACGACAGAACAAGCCAATACCACGTTGACTGGGCACAGAGGACAGCGAAACGAGGACGAATAGGCTCAAAACAACGGGCCAACAAAAGACAACCGCAACAAATCCCACTCTTTCGGTTGAAGCAACGCAAGAATTTCTGTTCAGTCAAGTATCCACGCCACTCAAGTGATACCACAACATGAAAGAAATGCTCGGTTAAAGCGTGCAAGCATGCAGCCAATTGCCAAAAAGCGAGCATAAGCTGTAGATGACAAAGACAGTAAATGTCAGCCTCAGCCACAACCAGCAAAAGATAAATGATCGAGGCCTGAGCAACTAGACACAGTTAGCCTACGACAATGTCACAGATTAAGGCGGATGAGAGCATGCTATTGTCAGTGGAAAAACGGAAAATCGGCAGATTAGAATAGAATAGAATAGAATAGAATAGAATAGAATAGAATAGAATAGAATAGAATAGAATAGACT